TGCGGTTGCGCGCTCCCGCGGGCGCTTTGAAATGTGTCGCCCGGTTGCGGTTGCGCGTTTGAAATGTGTCGCCCGGTTGCGGTTGCGCGCCGCGGGCGCTCGCCGCGGTTGCGCTTTGAAATGTGTCGCCCGGCGGTTGCGCGCGCCCGCGGGCGCTTTGAAATGTGTCGCCCGGTTGCGGTTGCGGTTGCGCGCCGCGGGCGCTTTGAAATGTGTCGCCCGGTTGCGGTTGCGGTTGCGGTTGCGCGCTCCCGCGGGCGCTTTGAAATGTGTCGCCCGGTTGCGGTTGCGGTTGCGCGCCCGCGGGCGCTTTGAAATGTGTCGCCCGGTTGCGGTTGCGGTTGCGGTTGCGCGCTCCCGCGGGCGCTTTGAAATGTGTCGCCCGGTTGCGGTTGTTGGGTTGCGGTTGCGCGTTGCGCGGTTGCCGCGCGCGCGCTTTGAAATGTGCCCGGTTGCGGTTGCGGTTGCGCGCGCGGGCGCTTTGAAATGTGTCGCCCGGTTGCGGTTGCGGTTGCGGTTGCGCGCTCCCGCGGGCGCTTTGAAATGTGTCGCCCGGTTGCGGTTGCGGTTGCGCGCCCGCGGGCGCTTTGAAATGTGTCGCCCGGTTGCGGTTGCGGTTGCGCGCTCCCGCGGGCGCTTTGAAATGTGTCGCCCGGTTGCGGTTGCGCGCCCGCGGGCGCTTTGAAATGTGTCGCCCGGTTGCGGTTGCGGTTGCGCGCCCGCGGGCGCTTTGAAATGTGTCGCCCGGTTGCGGTTGCGGTTGCGGTTGCGCGCCGCGGGCGCTTTGAAATGTGTCGCCCGGTTGCGGTTGCGGTTGCGGTTGCGCGCTCCCGCGGGCGCTTTGAAATGTGTCGCCCGGTCGCGGTTGCGGTTGCGCCGCCGGGTTGCGCTCCCGCGGGCGGTTTGAAATGTGTCTCCCGAGCTGTCCCCTGACGTTCAGTCAGTCATCAGTCAGCCGGCGGGCACGGAATTTCACCCGGCTCCGCCGGGAAAAAACACACACGCACAACAACAACAACAACAACAACAACAACAACAACAACAACAACAACAACAACAGCAACAACAACAACAATAATAACAACAATAAGACCGATCGCCCTTATATGCTCGAGTTTCCAATAACGCGTATTTCCCAAACCCTCGATCCCCGCCCTCTTCGTCTTCGATCGAACCCCTTTTGGGGGGTATATCTTTCTTCCCTGCAGGCCGGGCCCCGGCAAGCGGCGGGGCGGCCGCGGACCGTCGGCCTGGCCAGCGGCAGCGCTGATCGGCGGGGCGGCCGCGGACCGTCGAACCGACCCCAAGAAAGACGGACAGGGGACCGACCACGACGACGACGACGACGACGACGACGACGACGACGTCGAAGACGACGGCGACGACGACGACGACGGCGACGACGAGCGAAAGCGAGAGCGAGAGAGAACGACAGCAGGGCCACGAAGGGCACGAAGTAGGCCACGAAGGGCGACAGCGGGGACACGAAGGGAATGCGTATGGGGCCACGAAGAGCGCGAACGAGCGGGGGCCACGAAGTGCAGATAATGCGGGGCCACAGAAGACAACTATGGGGCCACTGAGGGTAGCAACTGGGCCACGAAGGACAGTGAGGGGGACACAACTGGCGACAGCGGGGCCACGAAGGGCATGCACCTGGGGCCACAACGGGCGCGACTCCTGGGTGCCTGGGTGTCGGGAGCGCGGCGCTTGGGCAAATTGCAGGAAATTCCAACGCAAGGCTATTCTTCAGTAAATTGCAAGCAAGTCTCCAGCGAGAGCGCGACTCCAGAGAGCCAGGAGAGCGATTGGTGAATAAATTGTAAGGAAGTCCCAAGCGAGAGCGCGATTTCCTAAATCAAATGCGAGGAAGTCTCGGGCGGGAGCGGGGGTCCTGGCTAAATTGTAAGGAAGTCTCAAGCGGGAGCCGTTGTTGTTGTAACCCGGGGGCCAGGGGCCCAGTTTGAGCATCAAGACTTCCCCTGTCAAAAAACAGGGTGCGAGCGTCGAGGGGTGCACTTTGATTTACAAAAAACAATATGCACCGGTGGGGGGGATCAACAATAATTATTATGAAAAAAAAGAAAATCCAACAACAACAACAACAACAACAACAACAACAACAACAACAACAACAAACACAACCACAACCACAATAACAACAACAACAACAACAACAACAATTACTAGCACGTGGGGACACTCCGTTCTCACCAGTGCCAGGGTTTTCATAGGAGGCGGGCAATACCCCCACTTTGTGGGGGGGCCGGTTCAAGCTCTACCAAATTTCCAAACGACTCTTCGCCACCACCCACACCCAGCTTCCCGCCCTATGACGTTCGGACACTTCACTTCGTGGCATGCGGACGACCGTGGCTACTATTCAGGGCCCCGCGGCCGACGACGACGGCGTGCGCGCGCGAAGAAAAAACGAATGTGTCCCGCATGGTATTATTTGACAGGGATGATGGCCCTGGCAGGTGCGCAACCGTTGTCGCAGAAGTTCGAAAAAGTTGCTCGCAAAAGCCCGTTTGACAGAAATGTTTAAAAAGTGTTGGGTTTCCTACGAATCCGCAAGAGCGCGCGGGATGAGATTTTGACATTTTTTTGTTGAAAAACCATTGGTTTTTTGATGTTTTTATGTTAAAATCGCTTCCGAACACTAAGGTTTTGGAAGGATTTCGTCTTGCGCGCGCGAATGTCCACTTTACCTTATTTTTTGCAAGGGATTCTTGAAATTTGATTATATTAGAACAAGAAATGTCATTTTATAGTGTTTTTTGCAAGGGAAAACGGATTACAACAAAACAACCGGATCTGGATCACATCGTTTTACCTGAGGCTTCCTCACGAAAATGATGAAAATGTGCTGCGGCCTAGGCGCGGCGGGGGGGCGTGCACCAGGGGGCCCAACAATAATTATTCTTTAGAAGTAATAATATTCAACAACAACAACAACAACAACAACAACAACAACAACAACAACAACAACAACAACAACAACAACAACAACAACAACATCAAGTTTAAGACTGTTCGCCCTTATCTGCTCGAATGTCCAATCTCGCGTATTTGCCAAACCCTCTATACCCGTTTTCTTCGTCTTCGATCGAACCCCTTTTGGGGGTATGTCTTTCTTCCCTGCAGGCCGGGCCCCGGCAAGCGGCGGGGCGGCCGCGGACCGTCGGCCTGGCCAGCGGCAGCGCTGATCGGCGGGGCGGCCGCGGACCGTCGACCCGACCCCAAGAGGGACGTTCAGGGGACCGACCACGACGACGACGACGACGACGACGACGAGCGAAAGCGAGAGCGAGAGAGAACGACAGCAGGGCCACAAGGACACGAAGTAAGCCACGAAGGGCGACAGCGGGGACACGAAGGGAATGCGTATGGGGCCACGAAGAGCCCGAACGAGCGGGGGCCACGAAGGGCATACGTATACTGGGCCGCGGAGGGCAAGGACGGGGCCACTGAGGGCAGCAACGGGGCCACGAAGGGCAGCGATGGGGCCACGAAGAGCATGCACATGGGGCCACCACGGGCGCGAACGAGCGGGGGCCACGAAGGGCATACATATATGGGGCCAGGAAGGGCAGCGAGGGGGCCACGAAGGACTGCAATGGGGCCACGAAGGGCATGCATCTGGGGCCACCACGGGCGGGAACGAGCGGGGGCCACGAAGGGCATACATAGATGGGGCCACGAAAAGCAGCAAGGGGGCCACGAAGGGCAGCGAGGGGGCCACGAAGGGCTGCAACGGGGCCACGAAGGGCTGCGACGGGGCCACGAGGGGCAGCGAGGGGGCCACGAAGGGCTACAACGGGGCCTCGAAACAAAGCGAGGGGGCCACGAAGGGCTGCAACGGGGCCACGAAGGGCAGCGAGGAGGCCACGAGGAGCTGCAACGGGGCCGCGAAGGGCAGCGAGGGGGCCACGAAGGGCTGCAACGGGGCCACGAAACAAAGCGAGGGGGCCACGAAGGACTGCAACGGGGCCACGAAGGGCAGCGAGATCCCGATTCTTGGGTAATCTGTGAGGGAGTCCTGAACGTGAGCGCGACTCCTGGGTGCCTGGGTGTCGGGAGCGCGGCGCTTGGGCAAATTGCAGGAAATTCTAACGCAAGAACGCTATTCTTCAGTAAATTGCAAGCAAATCTCCAGCGAGAGCGCGACTCCAGAGAGCCAGGAGAGCGATTGGTGAATAAATTGTAAGGAAGTCCCAAGCGAGCGCGCGATTCTTGAATAAAATGGAAGTCTCGGGCGGGAGCGGGGTTCCTGGCTAAATTGTGAGGCCGTCTCATGCGGGAGCCGTTGTTGTTGTAACCCGAAGGCCAACGACACAGTTTGACGCTCAAGACTTTCCCTGATAAAAAACCGGGTGCGAGCCCGGGAAAGGGCACTTCAATCGAGAAAAAGCCATGTGCACTGGACAGGGGGGATCAACAATAATTATTCTTCAGAAATGAGAGTTCAACAACAACAATAACAACATCAACAACAACAACAACAACAACAAAAACAACAACCATTACAACAGCAACTAAAACAACAACAACAACAACAACAACAACAACAACAACAACAACAATCAACAACAATCAACAACAGCAGCAACAACAACAGCGACAGCGACAGCAACAGCAGCAGCAGCAGAGCAACAACAACAACAACAACAAAACACCTCGTTCTTTATCGCAAACAATTCCGCCTCTTCAGGTCGAAACCAGGGGTAAATCTCCTAAAAGAGAACCCTGGGCAGGAGCCCTTTCCGGGAAGAAGTGCGTAGACGAAACCTGTCGGAGATCTGCGCGGACTTCTTGGATCCACGCTGGACACCCCTGGCGCCGGCCCCTGCCGCGCTCCTCGCGCCTGAGGGGGCGCCCATCGCAGATCCAAGAAATCCACGCGGAACTCTAAAAGTTTGTGTTTATGCAGCGTTGTCTTCGAGAGTTGGTCTCTCCAGTTCTCGATTTTCCCAGTCTCGAATTCACCGTCCCTGTGCCTGTGCGGCGGGCAGGTACGTCGTGCCCGTGCTGCGGTCGGAGCGGCGCTCGTTTGGCCCTCCGGTCCAGAGTTCCGAGCCGTACTCCTGTCGGAGATGCTCAACGTTGTCCGCATGGATACTCCTTCGGTGGTTCAGAGATGGGGTCGTGAGGGATGGGGTGCTAAGGACGAGGTGCCTCGAACAATGTGAATCAACCCTCGGATCCCTTCCTATCTTTAAGACCCCATCCCTCAGGACCCCACCTTTGAACCACCGACTCCTGCACAACCCGCCTGTCCCCGCGGCGGGATCATAGTAATAACCCATGCCAGGTGCAAGACTCGCGACGAACCCGTTCACATTGCACGGATACTCTGGAGGGTCGTCATAAGAAGTCACTGACCCCCAACCAACGTACTGGTCCCAGCGCCAGGATGCCTGAACGACACATATGACAATATACACAGCATGAAGCCATGACACATGCCGTATTTCGAACGCCATGTGCGTCAAGAGAGACAAGGGCGAAAAAGACAGCACGAATAGATACGTCGTGCTACAACATACGAGAATACGGGCAGGGGTAATTCGCTGTCCCTTCGGGCCACGTAAGCAATATTGGGTGCCTCCTGGGATCCTCCGAAAATCAGATTGGTGGGGTTTTGGCGCCGTCACCGGTCACGGTCGGTTCGCGCATCGTCCGCGCGCGCAAAAGTTTTTGACACCGCGTCGATCGTTAAACCTTGAATCGATCGCGGCCCCAATCGTTCAAGGTTGAGTTCCGTCGGGTTCAGTGGCGTTACCGTGTCCATCGGTGCTCCCGCATCACAGAATTCAACCTTGAACGCCTTCGCCGTCGACAACGGCGCGCCAACGCCGCACGAACCTATCGTAACTTCGAGAAAACGCATTTCGTGAACGCTTGTCTTGAACGAATCCCTGGACACGTCAGAACCCGGGAGGGGGGGGGCAAAACATGCGTCGCGCCTGGAGAACCGGGGGGGGGGTGCCAGTGAATCCTACCGAAGTTGCATCCAGCTGAAATTGAATCCTACTAAGGCTCGGCCCAGCTCTAGCAAGATCCTAACATAGCTGGATCGAACTTTAGTAGCATCATGGTCGAGCTTGATTGACCTCTAATCCCACCAGCACTCTGAGCGTAGGAGGTCTAAGGAGTTTTCTCTTCCATCCCCCCTCTTCCCCTTCGTGGAGGGGTTTATCCCTCCCCCTTTGCCCCCTCACATGCGCTTGGACGGGGAGTTCCAAAGGGGTTTGGAGCGTCCAAGATGGCCCAAGACGGATCCAAAAACGCCTCAGAGAGCACAAGATGACCTCCAGGATAGTTCTAGATAGTCCAAGATTCTTCCAGATGGCTCCTCAAATCCTCCAAGAAGCCCTAAAAACGCTTTAAGGCGGCTCCAGGTGGCCACGGAACCTCCCCAGGAGGCCACCAAGAGCCCAAAGTCATTCCAAGACCTACGGGAAATCAATGTGTTTGGCTTTCTCGCGTTTTCGCTTCCGATGGCCTTCCGAAGCCTCAGGATGGTTCCAAGATGGCCCCAGAGGGCTCCAAGAGGGGCCCGAGAGGCATCCAAAACGGCCGCAGAGCGCCCAACAGCGCTCCAAGAGCGCCCCAAGAGCGCCCCAAGAGGCGATGTTTGACACTCTCGAGGCGCAATGCTAATTGCGACCCCCCCCCTCTTTGATCGACGTCTTTCAAGATGGTTCCAAGACCAACCCTAAAGCTTCCAAGAGCGCCCAAAGAGGGCCCCAATAAGCGCCCAGACAGCCCAAGAGACGCCCAAGGGGCGTTTAAGAGGCTCCTCCCGAAAGACCCCCGAGAGGGCTCAAGAGGGTCCCCGAGGCACCCAAGACGCTCAAGACTGCCCTCGGCATCAGAACAGGCGTTAACTAATTCAACATATGTTCCAGTCGCTTCTGCGGCCCGCGCACGCTTCCTAGGCAGCCCTTTTACTGCGCACTGCTACACCTCACTCACTCGGGCAACTCGCCTGGCAACTAATACTGGATGGGCTGGCGGGGATACTGTTTTGTTAGCAGCCGCAGGCGAGAGCGCCAGCGGCGAGTGCGCCGCTGGTGGGGATTTTTTTGTTGGCGGCTCCCTGGCAAAGGTCAAGAGCGGGGCGTCGAACGGGGCGCGAACCGAAGATAATTAGCGGAAAAGGCGCATGCACATGCAAGGAACAAAATGACCCAACTTAAACACCGAAGACCAGCGCCGACACCCCAGCGGGCGGGGGCGCCACGGCGCATCGAGCAGCGGCAACGGCGGCACAGCGTGGCCATGTGCACTGTAACAGCGGGGAGAAGTCGCCCTGTCGGCGCCAATCTCCGGCCGAACGACACGCGGAAGCGAGGCCGGAAGGGGGGCAAGAGAGCCGCTGCGGACGTCAGTCGGGGCACAAAGCGTCAATAAGAAAAAGAGAGGCGGAACAGAGAACGGCCTCACTCACCATGGCTCACTCGCGCAGAACTCGGCTGAAGCCCGCCCTTGCACATGAGAGGGGGGGCGACCCCGTCAGCGAACGCGAGGCGTCGCCACCTCCAGCCTGTAGCCAGCGCGCGCACAACGTATCCGACTCTCGCGGTTCGGGGGCACAACGTTGCAAGTGCTGACAGAGGCTGATGCAGACTGGTCTGCTGGGGGAACGGCCATGAACTGCAGAAGGATGAACCATTCGTGCAGGGCCAATCCCTGGTGAAGCCAGACGTCAGGTAACACCGGAAGTGAGGTTAGCGAACGCGCCTATCTCCACCTTTCAAGAAGCAAGAGCGACGTCCTTGTGGTAGCGCCATGACCGTGTCAACGTAGAACCAAGGCGATACGCAGGTGGGGGGTGGCACCGCCTGCCGCTGAGCGCGGTGTGAACGGGGAAGAGCTGGCCCCACACCACTGCCGCATCGCGACAGCGTACGCAGGCTGGCAGCCAGCCGATAGCCAGTATCCACATCGTATCCGGCACACGAGGTCCGGGGGCCCAACAATGCGATGTCCTGGCGAAGGCAAGGCGCGTGGCTGCACCGAGGAGGGCAACCACCTGTCCGCTGAAGGCTGAACCACGCGATACAAGCCGCTCATACGGCGTGGTGCGTGGTACCACCCCCGTCCACCACCTGCCACGCTGCCCCAGCGGAGGACGGATGCGACCGGGGCATGGGTAGGCATACCGCTGCCAGCAGCCTGTCCACAGCTCCGCGTGCTGACCTGCTGGGTTTGGTCGACACTGTTCCCCTGGTCACAATATCCTCGCACGATGCTATCACTGCCTTTGATCGCGGGGGGGTGCAGCCAAGAGCCGCAGAGACTTGTGAACGAAAGGGGGGGGTGCAGCCAGATGCCGCTGGACACAGGCGCTGCGCCCTGGGCATCCATGCACGGACCGACTCAGCGCGGAAGCACTTCTGCGATCGCAACACACTCCGCGTGGGGGGCGCAGCCAAAAGCCGCAGAGACAATGTGAATGAAGGGGGAGAGGAGGAGGAGAAGGAGGAGGAGGGGGCGCCGCCACAGCCCAGGGCGCGGGGGGTGTACCCAGTCGCCTGACTCGCAGTGATTGGTGCGATCTTAGCGAACTAGATGGGGGGCGCAGCCAAGAGCCGCAGAGACATTGCGAATGAGTCAGGTGGGGGGCGCAGCCAAAAGCCGCAGAGACATTGTGAATGATAGGGAAGAGGAGGCGCAGCCAGTGGCCGCTGAACTGTGCAGGCGATCCCGATCGTCCACGCGAGGAGCTTCCACACCACATGGGAATGTGTCTGATCGCGGGCGGAGCGGTACTTCGACCCCCACCCGCTGCCGTACAATATGCTATCAAAGAGGTGGAGCGCAGGAGGTGGGTTATTTCAGCCACCGGTCTCTGCCGCCCAAAGTAGGCTGCCCTGGAGGGGTGGCACCGACGACCCCGTAGCCCATGAGGCGAATGGGGCTGAGCGCTGGCAGTGCGGCAGCTGGTTGCTCCGACCACTGCCGTACACAGTGCCAGAAAGGGTGGAGGGCAGGGGGTGGGTTATTTCAGCCACCGGTCACTGTCGTCCAAAGTGGGCAGCCCAGGGAGGGCACAGACGACCCTAGAGTCCATGCCGGCGGCGGCCTCCGTGATGGAGGCTGCGGCCACACTCCCGCGCAGCGATCGGCAGCGGGGGCGAAAGGGCCTGGCAAGGTCCACGTCTCCAGCGAGGGCTGTCTATCAGCGACGCTCACTGGCGTCCCTCGCCCCCGCGAAGGTAGCACGTAATGGGTCGAGGCAGGGCACTGCTAGGTCCACGAGACCAGCGTGGGCTGTCTAAACGCGCAGCGCAAGGGTATTGGCGCTCCTCCGCCCCAAAGGAGGTAGCACAGGGCATTGCGGCACAAGCCGGGCGCTGCGGATGAAACCGACTGGGGAGGGGGGGTGCGGCGCATGCCGGGCAGGGAGGGGGGAGGTGGTAAGTGCTGCGCGCGGCAGGCAGCACGTGGGTTGGTGGGCCGCGTCGGCGAGCGTTGCAGCCCTCTTCACGCCTGGGGGGGATGGCCGAGACCCGGGCGGGTCCAGGTTGCGCCCCCGCCATCTGGGTCGGGAGTCCCAACCCCGCGGGCGCTTGTCAGCGTACTGGTGTTCTCCTCAGGGGGAGTAACGCTTGCCCTTCGCCTTCTGGTCCGTGTCGGTCCGTGACGCACTTTGGTGCCCCCCACGCGTCCCAGGACTGCCATGCACGCCACGACGAGCCTGAGCTGGATGCCCCTGTCCACTGGTCTGGCGGGGCTGCCCGTGCAGCCTCCTTGCCTGCAGCGGTCCATGGGGGTGGGCGGCCACTGCTGACGGTCCCGCCGGCGGTGCGCGGTCTGGCGTCGCGTTGCATGAATTTGCGGTGTTTCTCCATGACACTCGGCCAGTCAACGTGGAGCTGGTACTCTTTATCCATCTTGTAGGCGTCGAATTCCGCTTTGCTCCATGCCTGGAGGAAATCGTTGCACTGTTGTGCAGAATTGAGCCTGGGATCAGACGTGATGTAGTGGCTCCCTTGCCTGTATGCTGCCCTCTTGACCCAGGCGCCCCAGACTCCGCTACCAGAGCGTGAAGAATCGAATGCCACTATAGCCCGATCCAGCTCTAACTGAATCGTACTAAGGCTCGGTCCAACTCTGACAGAAGCTTATTATAGATCAAGCTCTAATTGAACCCTACTAAAGCTCGATCCAGCTCTAATCACATCTTACTAAA